GTTTTTAATCTCCTGGAAATCTGTTTGTATCTCTTTTATGGATTCCACTTGTGTCCTATGTTGGGATTCCATCATGTTCCTCAGCTCCTCTAGATGTATTAATCATCTCTTGCATTATGGAAACATTTCTGCTGTTATCCGAGAAATTATTTCTGATTTCTTTTTTTCCAGCTCCTCTTTTGTTGCCAGTTCAGGGTGTCCAGGTTGTTGAGTATCAAGAGTATTCCAATTTGTTTCCCTTTGGGGTTGCCGTCTTTGCTCTGGTGGTCTGGTTTTGAGTCTTGTTTAGGTGTCTTCTTATTTTCATTGGGGAGGTGCTGCTGGTGCCTGCATGGCTTACATCATCTGTGCTGGGACCAGTGCTATGGTGGCCTGAAAGCCTCATCCTCTGCCCTGGGTGCAGTGCTACATCACCCCAGAAGCCTTCTCCTCTGTGCTAGGCAAGGTAGTATGCTGACCCGGAAGCCTCCTCCTCTATGCTGAGAGCAGTGGCATGTCATCCCAGAAGCCTCTTCCTCTGTGCAGGGAGAGGTGGTTCATTGACCTGGAGGCCTCCTCTTCTTTGCTGGAAGTGGTGATATGACTGCCCAGAAGCATCCCCCTCTCCAGTAGGAGCAGTGGCGCATCAACCCAGAATCCTCCTCCTCTGGGCTGGGAGCATTGGTACATTGGCTGGGAAGCCTCCTCCTCTGCACTTGGAGTGGTGGCAGGTTTACCCAGAAGGCTCCTCCTCTTTGCTTGGAATGGTGGCACATTGGCCCAGAAGCCTCCTCCTCTCTTGATGTTGGATTTCATCAATTGAATTTGTCCTTCAGGTTGATTCTTCATGTTATATATGTTTAACTCCCCCACTCTTGAGTACCTGAATTTTCTACTGGGTCTTCTCTGATATTCTCTCATGGACCTCTGGCGCTATTCTGCCATGATGGGTCCCTTCCCATTTGCAGTACTCTGGGGAAGTATCTTTTTAGGCTGGATTATTTGTTTGGGAGAAACTAGCTTTTTGT